TAGGAGTACGTACCCATGTATGGTACTGAGTCCAAGATGCTGGTGCTTCAAAGGTGAGAGGTTAGTGTTAGGACGTGGTAAAAGTAGACCATCGATCGTGAACTGCGACTAGTGTGCACATCAGTTACCCTGTTTACGGACTTGTAACCATGCTACAGTTTGTGTTATGAATGAACTTGCAGAGTGCGCAGAATATCGAATAACGAGAATGGCTGATTACTGAATGACGATACAATGGAAGTGACGAGGCCTAAATATGGGAAGTCCTAGCTAGGCGGGGAGGTTGGGCGAGGATGGCTCGGTGATGGTTGCGATTGGTGCGGAGGCGACTCGGGAGTGGTTCGGTGCGACGAAATAGGAAGGACAGGTTCGTCGCGTGACCCTCGGGATGGCCTCGCTAACGAGTGCCTCGGTAATGATTCCGTAAATCTGTACAGTTTGGATTTTGTCGATATATTGTGCACAGGTGATGAATGCGACTGATCTATGATTGGTGTCCAGCTTTCAGACGCATCACGCACTACTGGTGCGGACCCCTTCGCACAGCACTAGATGATGCTTCGTGAGGGCCTCCGGTGATCCTCGAAGATTCCATTCCAAGGGTGCATTCCTTGAATCAGGCTCGGGACCTTGAACTCTCTCCCGAACCTGGCTAGTGTTGTGCTGTGCTGTGCGGCCTACCAAGTGCAAAAGAACGTTGAACCAGTAGTGCTGTGCTGTCCCCTCCTCCAGGCAGGCAAACTGGGTGCGAGACTGGTTCCCGCTCGAATCGCGGACCCAGGAGCAGCACAAGCAGTTCCGGGCAGGGACAAAAGCCCCGAAAAAACATGCTACGGGGTAGGGCAATGTCCCATTGGTGACGAGAAATATGTTTGGCCCTGGTTGGCTGTATTTCTCCAAACCCAGCAATTATCGTCGCGGAAAACATTTTCGCGGTCAGAACAGCAAAACTTTTACGAAGCTCCTTCAGTTGCGCGGAGAGTGGCAGGAAGCTGAATCGCACTAACTTGGGGGGTTCTTGGCTTCACGGAAGCACCCGGCCGCACCAGTGGTGCTGTGCTGTGCTGTCCGCCCTCCATTTGCCGCTGGGCAACAGAACTGGGCCATGTTTTTTACGAACCACTCGCAACAGGCACGATTGATGTTTGATGCCAGCGAAGTGCTGGTAATTTCGCAAAGCGGTGTGAATGGAGTCTCGCATCTTTCCCGCAATGTGGGCCTGTGGGCTGCGAATGTCGCGTCTGGTTGCCCTGTGGGCTGCGAAATGTCGGCAGGTGTCGCAGGAAAAACCAAAGTATCGAATGTGGAAGAGTCAAACCATCATACTGGGGCGATCGTTACAACCAAGCGGGCCCCTCGTTTCGCCAATCGATCTGCCCAATCAATTTCTGGGGCTAAAAGAACAATCGCGATCCTGAGATCCTCCCACTTTTACCGCGTCCTTATAATGGTTTTATCCTACGAAGGGAACCCACCCGCGAACACTGGCTCAGCCTACAGGTAATAATTCCAGGCGTGTCATTGGTTTTTACTTTACTCAAAACCTACCCAAACGCCTAGAAGTGTAAACAAGCCGCTCTGAAAAGCACATAAATTCATTCAACCGCAATAAAGTGAACTCGCATGCCTAAGGGTGCATTCCTACCTCTTGTCAGACACGAAGTGGAGGTTTGGATGGAGGTTCGGAAGACCCGAAGTGGCCCACTTCGGGTCTTCCGAACATTGGTTTGCTAGAGTTTCAGCTCACTTCGGGTCTTCCTCAACTTCACTTCGTGTCTGACCTCATGTCAGACACGAGCCAAGAATGCACCCTATGGCGTGTCCCGAAGTGACATGTCAACGGATGTCGATGGATGTCGACGGATGTCAGGGTGGTAGGTGAGATTTTTCAGGCCGGCATTGTGTCCGAAGTGATCAGACATCCATCCGACATCCATCCGTCATCCAGCTCTGTGTAATCATTACAGTCAAAGGGTTGCCGCCAACAGTGACCTCGGGGCTGGTCAACGTGGCGTTGACGAACCAAATTATTGATAACAAAATTTGAGGGGGAACCATGACGAAAGTATTTCTGGGCAAGCGACAGCCCTTCGTGACTTGTACGGGGTGACGAAACAAGTTTGCGAAATCGTGACTCAAATTTGAGCCTTCAATATTCTCTCTGGTCTGCCCTTACCGGCGCCAGCAGTGCCGGCCTGCATTTTTTAGGGCAGTTATGTCGCCGGCATTGTGTCCGAAGTGCCTCGACAATCCATCCGACATCCATCCGTCATCCCCTGTCATCCGCCACCGTCATCCATTGGATGACGGATGGATGACGGACGGATGTCGAGGGTCACTTCGGACCCGCCCTAAGAAAAAATCGGAGTGGTATATTCCCTACTAGCTCTCCAAAATGCGGATGGCTTTTGCTCTTCTTTGAACTCTCCCCATCAACAGCACCTTCCGTGGCCATCTGTCGGTTTCCCAGCATCTCTGCTGGTCCTACTTGGGCGCCCACGTCAGCGCCCCCTTCACGGAGAATTTCACAGCAGTTTCAACATCGTGTGATTCTGGACCGTCGATTAGATCATGTGGGAAGAACATCCCGTTGACCATCCGTTTCCTCCTCATCTCACTCTGTATTTCACGCGGTGCTGCCGCCGACTTCTGTCTTACTGTACAGCCGTGTACACATTTTCCTGCGCCATTTGTACTGATGTTTGTCACTAAATAGTACACGTATCATGGTATTGAGGGTTGTTTGAGATGAACCAGGATTTCACCTCTGTGATATCGACCCTCCAACATTGTAATCACAAAACGTAAGCAGTGGTCGCAATTTCAGCAGTTACTGTACTCCTTGTTCCTCCAGAACCAGATAGGACAATGGAACATGTCAAGTCCTGAACAAATCGAACAAATATACTTCCATGGGTTCTCCCTTGCAAATTCGGATGAAGTGGTTGTGCAGTTGGCTCAGGATTACTGTATTGCGCAGTTGGTATGCACAGTTAGCATCCAGCTAGTATGCAGGGCACCACACCACACATGCCATGCTTCCCCATCCACCCCTCCGTTACACCCAATGGTATGGGAAACCTGTCCGCACTGTGTGGAATTCAACAGCACAACCATTTGCTCACGAGCCACAGAGTCATGACATGGCAAGCAGGCACGCACACACAAACTCATGCCCTCCTACCGCAACTAGTTACCAGTCCCATCTGCCTTTACATGTGGACATAGTAACTAGTTCTTACCAGTCCAGGTAATTTGGCGGGTGTTGGCTCTACTTGTCATTCTGACGGATATTTGTTGATGCTAGGCCCCGGGTTTCTCCTAATGTGGATAGGATTGCGGCTGCGGCATCTACGGTAGACCAAAGAACCAAGCAGCGTCATACTCCCGCACATTGATTTTGGCATTTCGTCGTTAGGGCAGATAGAATCCGTTGTTATATCGGTCCAGTAGAAAGCACATTTCCGCCTCATTGTCAAAGTAAAACCTTCACTCCGACGCGATCAGAACTCCATGGATTAGTCTAGACCTCGAAGACGGTACCAATTCCTCGGGCGAAGCGTAGTAGAGTCCATTGTCAGCGACGCCGTTTAGGATTTCAGAAGTATCACTTATCACGTACTTGTTTTCACGTCGCATTGTACCCACATTGCGTGCACAGAAGGCACCGATATCTCGCCATTTTGTTCATGGAAACCACTCAATGTCTCCTTTTTCGCGTTATTAATTAGGCTTAAAGGAGTCCCTACTCGAGCCCGTCGATAGCCAGCCACGAAGACACCACGATGTCTTCTCTTAAATACAACCTGTTGTCCCGTCGTTCTCGCTGATCTGCTAAATTGGTCCTTCTCTCTCGCAATTCAGCAACGGCAGCAGCGTCAGGGACTGCGGGAACGGACCTAGGAGACGGATTTCGTTTTCTTTCTTTCTTTCTTTCTTCAGGACATTCCAGAGTTCGTCAGGGACCGCGGGAACGGAGCCAGGAGAATCAACGAATCTTCACCCCCATCATCAGCAGCAGCTGTGGGAACAGCGAATTCGGCAAACGCCAGCAGCAGCAGCAGCAGCAGCAGCAGCAGCAACAGCTTCAGCAGCAGCAGCAACCGCATAGCAGCAGCGGCAATAGCAGGGATAGCAGGAGCCGCGGCAACAAATCTCGCCGTGCAGCAGCCGCAGCAGCCGCAGCAGCAGCAGCAGCAGCAGCAGACCATCAGAGATTCCCTGGCCACCATGGGTCCCACCTCCAGGACAGCTGGCCGATGGCGTGGCATCCATGCTCGTTAATATCACGGACATGCACGACTTCAAGCACGAGGTGTACTGTAGAGGAAGCGCTAACTCTGAACCAGGTGGAGAAGCGCGCGCGAGAGCAGGGTCGCGTGTGGTGGAGCTACGAGCGAACAAAGAGCCCGTACTGGTTCCTGGAAGAAGCCCCAGCGAGCATTCACGGGCGTGCATATACGAGCGAATCTCCAGGGCGACGCTGCAGCAAGCGACGAATAACCTAAGCATGCACTTGCACCATCACCACCATTCCCTTTCCTCTTCCTCTCTCCACCGCCTCCTCCTCGTCGTTACCCGCGTCGGCGTCTTGGCCCCGCGGCTTGCTCGGGCCGGAGCGTTGCCCGGTCCGGATTGTTCGGTAGCATGTCTACCCCGACGGTGCTGAAGCGGCTTGTGCGGAAGGGGATTCCACCGCATCTGCGCCCCGCGCGTGTGGAAGGCGGTGTCGGGAGCGGCTAAGAAAGAGGCGGTCGCGCCGGACGATTACTATTCGTCGCTGGTGGAGGAGACGACGTGGCGCACGACAGACCACACGCTGCAGATCGATCACGTGAGCAGTCTTGTATTCTGCCTCTTTCCCCCCTTCCACGGGGTGTTCTAACTTCTACGTAGGCAAGGTGAACATCTCCCCTGGTACACCCTCACCATTCCTTCTGTCCCCATCCCGCTTCCCCCCTACCCCAAACGTAAGCTTTCTCCACTCCACACCCCCTTCCATGTCCCCCTGTCTCTCCGCATCTCCTCCCACTTCTCAACCAGCTCTCCCCATTTCGCCCCATCTGTCCCCGACGTTATCTCTCCCCAACTACCCCCATCCCTCCCCCATGTCCCCCCGCGTCCCCCCATCTTCCCCTAACTTCTCCCACCTTCCCTTGTTGCCCCCCATCTCTCCCCATCTGTACCTCAATCTCCCCCCATCTCTCCTCAGTCTCCCCTCCCCCCCGCGCACTACCCCCGTTTTTTCCCCTAATCCCCCCCGTCTTTTCTGGTCTCTTGCATTTTCCTCCCATTCCCCCATCTCCTCTATCTCCCCTCCCACTCTCCCTCATTTATCCCTCCATCTCCCGCATCTCCTCCCACCTCCCCCCAACTTCTTCCGCCTTCCCTCATCTCTCCCCATCTCTACTCATATCTCCCTTAGCCTCCCTCCATCTCCCTCCCCGCGCCTCCCCCTACCTCTGCCCACCTCCCCCCACCTTTCCCATCATCTCCGCCCATCTTACCCACGCCCAAATCGCCGCCGTCCCCCCCTGAACCAGGACTTGCACCGCACGTATCCCCAAGCACCCGCGCATGGACACACCAGAGAGCCTCGCGGCTCTCAGGCGCGTGCTCGTGGCCTACTCCTTCCGGGACTCGCACGTGGGGGTACTGTCAGGTGAGAGAGGGAGAATGAGTGCAAGCAATCACATGGGGTACTGCCAAGCCAATTGCGACTTTTGATTTGAGGCGCCTCAAGAGTCTGGCGGCTCTCAGGCGTGTGCTCGTGGCCTACTACTCCTTTCGGGACTCCCACGTGGGTTACTGCCAGCGGTGAGAGAGGGAGAATGAGTGCAGTGAACGGCCATCCTCTCACGTGGGCCCGTGGGGTATGGCCAGATGAGAGATTCTGAGTGTGCAATCAATGGCCCGTTTCCGCTCCTCCTCTCTTCTGTGTATCGACATGCTCCACCTCAACCCCTTCCCATCCCACTTCCCGTCCTCCTCCACGGCCGCCAGGGCATGATGAGCTACGCGGCGGCGTATCTGCTGCTGGTGATACGTCTCTCCTTCCCTCTTCTCTCCTTCCATCTTCCTGCTGATTCCCACGCCCTACTTCCCATGCACCACCTCCCTCCTCCTTCCCCCCCCCCCCTCCGCCCCCCAAACGTGCCCTCCTCTTCCTACCCGCCAGAGCATGAACTAAGTGGCAGCTTACTTACCTGCTGCTGAAGATGCGGCTTCTCCCCTCTCCTCTCTCATTCCCACGCCCCTCGCCCCACACCCCTCCCCAATAGCTCTTCCCACACCTTCCCTTCCCTAACGGCAGGGCATGAAGTTCATGACCACGTACCGCTGCTGGTGATGCGGCAGTGATGCTGCAGGGTGTTTTTGAGAATTCTCAAAAAACACCCAGCAGGCCATGAAGTTCATGACCACATACCGCTGCTGGTGATGCGCAGTGAGCAGGACGCCTTCTGAATTCTGGCGACCCCTTTGCACCTCTTGCCCTGCCCTTTCCCTCACCTCCCACCCCCCTCTCCCCCCCCCTCTTGAAAGCCCTCCCCTACACCCGTCCCCTGCACCCCTCCCGCCCCTCCCCTCCGTCCCCCCATCGCCCTATGTCCCGCCAGGGCATGAACTACGTGGCGGCGTGCCTGCTGCTGGTGACGCACTCCTCCCCTTCCATCCCCACGCCCCTGCCCTCCCTCCCCCACTTCTCCACCCACTCGCCCTCTTCCCCTCTCCCCCTACCCACCAGGGCATGAACATATGTCGCAGCGTAACCTGCTGCTGGTGATGCGCAGCGAGGAGGACGCGTTCTGGATGCTGGCGACGCTGGTGGAGAACGTGCTGTACGACGACTGCTTCGCCGAGGGACCTCTTTGGCGTGCACGTCGAGCAGCGCGTGCTCAAGGACCTGCCTCAAGAAGAAACAGCCCAAGTGAGCACGGAAGGGGGAAAGGGGAGGGTGGGGGGAAGCGTGAGGGGGAGGGGTGAGCGGGGAAGTGGGGATTCTGACCCGTGTGTTATTTAAGGCTCTTTGGCGTGGGAGGGGAGAGCGGGGAAGTGGGGATTCTGACCCGTGTGTTATTTAAGGCTCTTTGGCGTGGGAGGGGAGAGCGGGGAAAGTGGGGATTCTGACCCGTGTTTTTTTTAGGCTCTTTGGCGTGCACGTGGAGCAGCGCGTGCTCAAGAACCTTCTCAAGAAGAGGCAGCCCAAGTGAGCAGTGGGAAAAGAAAGAGGGGACGGGGGGGAGTGGGCCCTTTGGTGCTCGTCAGAAGCCTCTTTGGCGTGCACGTGGAGGCAGCGCGTGCTCAAGGACCTGCTCAATCAGAAACAGCTCAAGTGAGCGAGAACAGGGGGGATGGGGAGGGGGCACATGGAGAGGATTAGAAGGGAGGAGAGATGATTATGTGTGAGGAGCGTGAGATGGCAGGAGGTAGGGAGTTTAGGAAGAGAGGGGAAGGAGGTGAGTTAGGGAGGTTCGTAAGAACGTGGGGCGGCTGGGGAACAAGGGAGGAAGGGGATGGAGGGGAGAGGAATAACAAGGTAAACGCTGTTCACATACCCACTTTCTGTTGTGCTCTCTACTTACCACGTCCACGTATCCCTACATTCCAGTCACCCCAAGGTCTGAGATTCGTTTCTTTTGTCGATTCATAGTTTTGCCTCCCTCTCCTTGCGTCATGTCATGCGAAGCACACTCGTCCTCTCTGTCATCACTCCATCTTATCTTGACCCCCATCCACCCACCCATCCCCTCCTTCCCTGTCCCCTTTTCCGTCTTCTCCTTTCCCCCCTTCCCCACCTCCCCCCTCTCTCCCCCTCCTCCTCTCCTCTCATTTACCAGGCTAGCTAGCCACTTAAACAAGGTGGGTTTTGAGCTCTCCCTCGTCACCACTGAGTGGTTCTTGAAACAGCAAAAAATTCCCCGTCCACGGTCCACCCACTCATCCACCCCCCCTTCCCCTCCTCTCCCCCACCCCCCCCCCCCTCTCCTCGACCAGGCTAGCTAGCCACTTGGACAAGGTGGGCTTTGAGCTCTCACTCGTCACCACCGAGTGGTTCCTCTGTGTCTTCGCCAAGACCTTCCCCTCTGAGGTGCGTGGGTGTGCAGTGCAAGCACCTTTCTCTTCTGCCAACACTCGCTTCGCTCTCACCTCCTTACCTGGGCTTGTGAAACCCCAACCTCTCAGTCTCTCTCTCCCTCCCGCGTCACCACCGAGTGGTTCCTCTGTGTCTTCGCCAAGACCTTCCCCTCTGAGGTGCATCGCTCAATCTCTTGCCCTCTCTAATCTCATGTCCCCACCCCGCTTTTCTTCCGAGCTTTCGCGCCTGAATCAGGCTTCTGGGGCGTCTCAAAAGCCTTATCTGCTGCTCTCATGTTTTCCGCCCCCTTGTCCGAGCTTTCGCGTAAGAATCAGGTCCAAATCTCCTCTATTTCCTCTCACAACGGGACGCACACACGTCCGTGCATGTTTGTCTGGGTGTGCGTGTCAGTGTGTGTTGTCGTGTGCATGAGTGTATGGTTGTGTGTGTATTTATGTGTCCTGTGTGTATGTTCTGTGAGCATGCGTTTTACATGTGTGCGTCTGTGCGGGTGTTGGTGTGTGCATGTGTGTGTATGTGCGCATGTGCGGGTGGGTGTCTGTGTGTCTGTGTATGTATGTATGTATATACATGTATGTATGTATGTATGTATGTATGTATGTATGTATGTATGTATGTATGTATGTATGTATGTATGTATGTATGTATGTATGTATGTATGTATGTATGTATGTATGTATGTATGTATGTATGTATGTATGTATGTATGTATGTATGTATGTATGTATGTATGTATGTATGTATGTATGTATGTATGTATGTATGTATCCCCACCTGCATGCATTACATACACCTGCATGCATCACATCACACGTGCCCTGTGCGTGCAACAGACCACGCTGCGGGTGTGGGATGTGCTTTTCAACGAGGGAGCCAAAGTGCTCTTCAGAGTCGCCCTTGCACTATTCAAGGTAACCTGCTCCCTCAACAAACCTGCTTCCGCCCTGGTAATCTAATCGCCCTGGTAATCTGCAGGCCATCTTCTCTCCCTTCCACGTGCCACTCTATCCTATCCTCCTCCCCCACGTCATGTACCGTTCCGCCTTTCGTTTTCCTCCCTCCCGTGCCGGACCGCCAACCAACCCCACACTGCTTTCCTGGTACCCTTCATCAGAATTGCAACAATGAGCTCATGTGTAGTGAGGCAATTTTTTAGGCGCCTCAGAAATCGCCTCACTACATGCTGTTTGCAAGAATGAGCTTTTGATTTTGTTTAATGCACCTTGGTACACACTCCCCCGATTTACCTCCTTCCTTTCCCCTCCCGCCAACTCTCCACTCCCCCCCCTGCAACTTTTCCTCCTTCAGAACTTGTGCGAATGCAGCCATCCCTTATGCGCACTACACCAGCTCTCTCTCCCACTCTCTTTCACCCCACGCTTGGTGTCAGATAACGAGGCAGAGCTCATGACAGCACAGCACAGCACCTGGGCAGCGGCACTTGTGACGCCTCTAAAGTAAAGCTTCAAAACGTTTCCTTGTGCTCGTTCCACCCGCTCTTTCCCTCTCTTCTCTCTCTCCCCCTGCACCCCCGTGTCAGATAAACGAGGCAGAGCTCATGACAGCACAGCACCTGGGCGACGTGGTGGAAATACTCAATCGGTCCAGCAGCAGGCACTTTGACCCCGACATTCTCCTGCAGGTGCGTCCTTATCCTCATGCACCTCCCTCTCATCTCCTCTCCTGTGAATGTTGTGTCAAGGTGACTTTTGAGTCGCCGTAAAAGTCATCGCATGGTGGAAATTCTCAATCGATCCAGCAGCAGGCACTCTGACCTAGACATTCTCCTGCTGCAGGTGTGTCTGCTCTGCGGGCGCCCCTCCCTCTCATCTCCTGCGAGTGTCGTGTTGTATCATCTTACCTCGTAATGTCTAGTCTGCGTGTTCGTCTTCCTCTTACTCACCCTGCCATGTCATTGCATGTCATCTCATCTCATCTCGTCTCATCCCATCTCATTCCAGCTCACCACACCTCACCTCACCACACCTCACCTCACCACACCTCACCTCACCTCACCTCATCTCGTCACGTCTCCTGCCAGCGATGCACTCCATGAAAGGCCACTATATGGGTTGCAGGCTGTTCCTGCCAACCACAGGGCTGTCTTTTTCTGAGGAGCCTCAAAAACTATAAGACAAATTCCTAAGCGCCTCAGAAAGCTTCCAAGGCCCTTGAAAAATGAAGTTGCGAGCTGTCTCTCTGTCAAGTCAGTGACAGCTTGACACAGTTGCCCAAACGCAAGCCATCCCCCGTCCCTCCCGTCCCTCTCGTCCACCATGTCCATGCCCACCATTTCAAGCACCTCAAGCGACAGAAACGTTTTGAGACGTCTAAAAAACCCCATGTGATAAGAAAGTGTTTTGAGACATCTCAAAACATCCCGTCCACCATGTCCATGCCCACCGCCATGCTCAAGCAGCTCATGCGACATAAACACATACGTGTATTATTTCTACCTTCCTCGACTCTCATTATGCCCCTCTACTACCTCTCTCCTCCCTCCTCTCCTCTACCGGCTGGGAGAATCCCGTGCATGCCATGCCCACCATTCTCAAGCAGCACAATGGGCAGAGCTTTTAACCCCCCCTTTTACTGCCTCTCCTCCTCCCTCTCTGCCCCTCCACCAGGTGGCGTTTGACCGGGTGGGAACCATGCCCATGGCCACCATTCTGAAGCAGAGACATCAATGCAAACCTCCCTCCCCTTCGCTTTCTCCGTCACTGTTCCCTCCCTTCCCCTTCCCCTCCCTTCCTCCTCTCCTCCACCAGGTGGCGTTTGACCGGCTGGGAACCATGTCCATGGCCACCTTCTCAAGCAATGCAAGTGGCAGAGCTTTTAACCACCCTTTTACTGCCTCACCTCTCTCCCTCTGCCTCTCCAGCAGGTGGCGTTTGACCGGCTGGGAACCATGTCCTTGGCCACCATTCTCAAGCAGCACAATGGGCAGTGTTATTAACCCCCCATTTTACTGCCTCACCTCTCTCTCTCTGCCCCTCCACCAGGTGGCGTTTGACCGGCTGGGGACTATGTCCATGGCCACCATTCTGAAGCAGCGCAAGCGTCAGAAGAACGCTGTGGTGGCGGCACTAGAGGCCCGGCAGCAGCAGCTCAGCGCGTACAAACAGGGCAGCAGCAGCAGCAGCAGGAGCCAGGAGAGCAGAGAGAGCAGGGAGAGCAGGGACGAAAGGGAGAGCAGGGAGAGCAGAGAAGGAGGAGGAGGGGGCAGGGAGAGCAGAGAACGCGACAGCACTAGCAGGGGTGTTAGCATCAGCAGCAGCAGTAGCTGCAGTGGAAGTGTGAGCGGCAATACAGAAATTGAATCTGCGAATGGCAGTAGGGACGGTGGCAGTAGGTTGAAAGGGAGCAGCAGTGTGAGTGGCGTGAGTACAGTCTCTGTTAGTGAGAGGAGGGAGGGAAGCAGTGCAAAGGCACAGATGCTTGATTTGGGGGAAGATGGCCGCAGTCTTAGCTTTCCAGCTGCCATTGCTGAGGGGAAGACCGGGGAAGAAGATGAGGGAGGCAGGGGGAAACGGTGTGGAGGAGGAGAGGCTGTCCATTTATCTGCATCCAACGGTAACGCCACTGATGCTTCGCGTGCTGCTGCAAGAAACCGTTGATTCGATCAAAGTCCCGGACCGCACCCGTCCCAGAGGCTTCCGAAGTGCCTCCATCTCTGTTTGTTCATTTGCTAGGTATGAAGAAGAACCTGCCGCTGCTGAGGTCAACCATAGGACCGTTCTCCCTCCAGGTGCTTTGTTCCGTGACGCCAGTGCTGCCTGCGGCAGCAGGAACAGCCGCAGCAGAGGGGCGTTAGGGGGAGCTTTGAAGGGGGGGCGTAGGGGTTGGAAGAGGTTGGGGAGGATTTGATGAGATGGAGAAGATTCGGGAGGAGGAGAGAGCGGAATGGGGCGCGGGAAGGATTCACCCCTCCGCAAGGCCTACCACCATCGTGTGGCGTCTCACCTTAATTTAAACTTGAACTCGGTGTCAGTTTCTCGCATGCATGCTGCGGCAGAAGCTGCATTGTCTGTGTTCTCAGCTGCTTCAGAAGTGTCTTCTGTGGCAGCAGCGTCAGTGTCCGCTGGCCATGGGATCGTCGCGAGGCTGAGAGTGGACTCATTCGCACCAACTCCATTTGATTTTATTTGTCTGGCTGACGCCAAAAAGCCCGCAAGAGAGGCTGAGGGTGCACTCATTTGCACTAAATCCATTTGATTTGCCTGGTGCTGGAAAATATTTCGCGAGAGGCTGGGAATGTGCTTGCACGCACCACCTTGTATGATACCATACTTCGCACCTTCTTTAATGTGGGTAGGAAGGGGTAGGGGGTGAAAGTGAAAAAGGGGGAGGGGGAGGGGAGGGGCTGGGGGTTTGTGCAGTGTCAGCAACCAGCCTCGATGTGCCAATGTCGCCGTGTAGTTTTCAACAGGCGCAGTTGCTTTGATTCTCCACGTACTTCCTATGTATCCCTCTCTCAGCCCCCTCTTCCCCCCAACTTCCCCCTTCGCCCTCCCTTCCCCAACTTGTCTCTCTCTCTCACTCCCCCCCTATTCTCTCTACCTTGTTTCTTATCTCAAGCACACCTCCCTCGACCACCCACCCTTCCATGCCGACGCTGCCCCACTCTTTTTCTGTTAGCTCGGCCATTATTGTTTGGTCCAGGTGTGTCCAGAATCCACTTGGTTGAATACATGTATTGATTGTGGTGTTCTACTACGAATTTCATGCTGGGTTTACGGAGTTATGGTACTAGGCGGTATGACACCTGCGAGATTGTACATTACTTTCAGTGATTCTCGGTATGGGACTCTAGCGTCCAATACGTGGTTGGCTTGCGAAGCGCGTTTTTCTGACGTGTCGCGCTGCAGTTCATTGGTCAGATTCAATCGATACCAATCCCCGTAATCTCCGACCTCACTGTCAGCACCACCACTCTTCCTTTCAGCGTGTGAAATTCCGCAATGATCTTTCAAAATGTCGTGGAAGGAGTGCAGGAGTCAGGGACTTCCGAGGGCCTAAGGGCGCATTCCCGGCCTCGGGTCTTCCGGGCGTTTGGGTCTTCCTAAATTGTGGGATCCAATCTTAAAATTCAAAGCTCGAAACACGGACTTTCCGATTGGATCCCACAATTTCGGAAGACCCGAACACCGGAATTCCCGAGGCCGGGAATGCGCCCTAAGAATTTGGTTCGGACTTCCAAGCAATTTCAGACCGTGTCGTCATGAGTTCTTGAGAGAACTCAAAACAAGTTTTACACCTGTTCTCCGATATCTTCACTACCCTTAATTTCACACCGCGGCTCGGTGTCACTTCGGGGTCCTCAGCCCAACTTTCTTGGAAGCCGAGCTGCCAAAGTGTGGTTGAACATCTAGACCCCCCCCCCACAGAAATGACGCAATTTATACTCGTGAGGCTGAGATGGAAGCCACAACTTCTGAAATATTCGGGGCTTATTCTTGGTGAGGTTCGGACTAGGAAATTTGACTTCGTATCGTGTGAGCTTGCTGTAAATTTTGAACTTCGTATTCCTCCAAAACAGTGTCAACGTTTCATAGGCCGACATGAACTTCTTCGAAACAAAACTGAGCAAACGCCCTGATTCTGTTTTGGGTGTGAACCCAGCCCCACGCAATCCTGACGTGGTGATGTGGCACCTGGCTGGATAAATTTCCCTGAGATCGTGCGATGTACTTTATCCATGTCAGCTGCATGCTTTGCGACTCGTGTGTGAAATTAACCAGAACTTTTTTGCTCTACACCTGGGCTCCGATAATTTCATTCCCTAAAAATTGCAAGGCCCCTGTCGTCACATGGGGTCAGGAGCTCGAGCGCTTCGGAGGCTGTCAACAGTGAAGTCGAAAGCTTTACCAGCCTGTGACCTGATGCGTCTGCACATTTCCACGCTGGAATGAGCTGGTGAAAGAGATTCGAGAAGGCTCCCAGGCAGGTTTTTTCGTGGCCCACAAGCAAACCAGCCGCACTAGATTCCTACGTGGCATAGAATGGACGGCCCAAGTGAAGGAGATGAATATGGGTAGAAACAAGCGTAACCGACACAAAAACGATAACAACCACTGAGGTACAACACACACAACACCAGAGGAGAGCACGGCAGGCAGAGAGCAAATTCGACTTCTGTACGAGTGCATTTGAGTGAACGAACGAGAATTGCACTATCGAAGCAAGAGTACAATGAGCGAAGGCATGAGCGAAGAATATATAGCGAAACTACAGTGGTAACGGTAATGGACTGTGGTTGTCGCGCGACGGGCCTGGGACTGAGGTTGGGAAAAAGTGTCGAAGCGGAGGCCCGGAGCGCGGGTTACCCGCCGAGCCGTGAGGTCGGGGTGCGATGTGCGAAGGTGGCGGGCAGATTGTCGATGCGAGGGTTGCGAGTGGTAACGGTGCTGACTGTGGTGCTACAGTGATGTACGCGTTGAGCAGGGATGCGAAGTAAGGAAAAGGAATTTTCCTTACACTACCCCCCCCCTTAAGGAGGTCCTCCCTACGAAAGTGCGTGTACATCCCTGAAATTCCGGCTGCGCAGATACTCGGTGAGGACGGGGTGGTTTTCGATTCTGTCCAGGGGAACCCAATTGTCTTCGGTGGGTGTACGGTCCTTCCAGCGGAGTAAGAACTCGA